TTGACCTGAACAAGCCATTTCCCTTGTGCTGTATAGCCAGGAATGTGCTATTCGTAACATCAGACATCCCTTGTTCATCATTTTGATACCAAGTCACTCGGTGCGGTAGGTGGCAGAACCCCACCAGATTCTATCCCTTCCACGTTGGTTGGAGTCGTTTGGCTGCAATGCTGTTGCGTCTATCTGATGGTTTGGTCTATCACAGACAAGGTGGATACCTTGTGGCTGTTTGCAGTGTTGCTGCTGATCGGTATGCCAATGACTCTCGGTAGCGACTTCTCGAAAACCTCAGCTACCTGCTGTTGTTTCGTGCTGATCCTGAACTTCTGATATGACGGTCCTCGACAATGACTGGCCATTTGCGGAACACGTTCCGAACAGAAAAGATCATGTCTCACGAGGAGGACCTCGTGGATTTTTCGGCAGACCTCCGCTTGAGCCCCGGCGCCTTGTGTCGAAGGGTCTGCCGACTAGCAGCTGTCTCTACCAACTGATAGAACGTGAGCTTCTTCCTTGCGAAGTGATGATGGTGAAGAAAAGCACTTCGCAATCAGATCCGCTCTCATGTCAAAGGACATCTGGAACCCGATCAAAGCTCGAGTTTGTGGAGGCCGAGCTGTTCGCTACTCTGTTCAAAGCCACCACTGCGGCCGGTCACGGGATCTGTAACCGGCTGTCCAAAGCTGTGACAGTCTTGGCCGAGATCAATCTTGATTGTATTCTTCGGGTGGCCGCGAAGGCAGCTGTACTGCATGATCGGAACAAAAGACCTTTTCTGAATGTAGAAAACCCAATGAATTGATAACAGAAACGTTGCAGGGTTTACTCGACCTCGGAAACGGACTCGGTCGGACATGGAAGTCGATATGACTTGATGAGTTCAAGACATCTACTCCTTGATCAGCAGAGTACTTTCGCGGCTTAGCCTGGGAACTTACTTGGTGATCGAGTTGAGGCCAACTCTCACCCTCAGAGTTCGTGCTGACTGGTTGTGGGGTCCGATTCGAGGGTATAGGAGAGCTTTGTGTGGGCTTCAGTCCTCCGCCTTCCTGCTGATGGTGTTCGGTGGTAGTGAGGGCCTGGTCCGTAGTCAAGGCTCATTGTGCAGCTTGAGATGGTACCTGGGCTCCGCTTCCCATTGTAGACACTTGCGTAAGATGTCCTCGCTGGCTGCCTGGGCCTTGCCGTCAGCATCGGTGGCCTCTAGTCGTACTCCATTACTGCCAGTCATGGAGCTTTCAGCACCTGGCGTAGGACACAATACTCCGTATTGTATCTCAATGTCGCCATACGCATCTGTCGTGTTTGTTACTTGGGTCAATGGTGCGTGGTGTGGCGGTGTTTTGGCTCCATAGTAAATCGTCAATAAGCCGTCGTCGGAGCTGGCAAAGTGCCGCCATCACCTAGTCTTCGGACACGAGACTGGATCTCACGAGCTGCTCGTCGTGTAGTTTCATGGCCTCGTTGGGGCCGAGAACTTTCGATCTCGGCGCTTTGCGACCTGTTTCGTACCGTCATCCGGTCGGAAGTGCTCTCGCTTGGAACTGCGCCTTAGCGGATGTCTGAATGGTGAAATGTTTCAGTGGATACTTTCGGAAACGTCGGCAGGATTGGTAGTATACCATGACGGTGTCGTTCCTCAAACTTGGGTGCTGCAGGTGAGGCTACCGCCACCCCAAACGTCTTCGGCCATCTCAAGACGCAGCACAAGGGCCATCACTCTGCTGGACGAGATATAGCCACGACTGTGAACTCAAAGTGAGTGACAATGTAAGTCGCGTTGTCATTGAAGGTGTTGTGGCCAGCGCGACTGCCCAAGGTACGGCGCAGTGTCTAGATGCCCCCACGCGGCTTGTGAGATCCGCGAGGGCCGAGAGTGAGTTCCAGAGTCAACTTCGAGCGATCTGAGGAATTGGGAATGTCTGTAGTCTGTTCATCTGCTCGTCGCCGTATATAGTGTCAACAGTGAAGAGCTGGCAAGTTGCTTACATTGGGAGCTTCGCCAACAACAACCAACAGAGCAGCGCCCCACCCAGAGACAGTGCTGGCAATGACTATGGTGGCTCTTTGCACAAAGAGAAGGTGGGATGTGTAGCAAAAGGTCAGTCGCCCGGTGGCTACGCGTGCGGCAATCCGCTTAGGAATTCGATCGAAGGTAAGTATGTCGGCACCAAAATCCTCCACTACACTCCAGTATCTCTGATCCAGCACCTTGAAGCGCTGACCTTTTTCCCCTTTTGCTTATTCCTCAATATCGCCCCTCCCTTGTGTGTTCATAAGCCGCTCAAGTCCAAAGACGAGCCCTCCACTGGCTACCCCACACTGTTATTACCATTGTGATGTGTCGATGTGGTCAGTCGCTGACCTCGTTCCGAGTCTGAGCGCCTTCGATCGTTCGATCGTTCGTTGTTCGGGCGATTGGGACGTTTGCGGTTGGGGGGTTGTGGGGCGGGGGTTAGATGTTGGGGAAGGTGTTGGAGAAAGTGTTTGGAGGTGGGAGGGGGTGTGAAATGCGCGAGTGACGGGAACACCAACATCAACATTGCAGTCTGAGGATGAGCACTCCGATTCTGCCATATGATTTGAGCATGTTGGAGAGTGATAAGAAGATTAGTCCTTAGGGACGCACAAGGCGCTGTCAGTGTCATGCACAATGTGCCGCATCTGCGGAGCGGGCCGAGCTGCACATGCCGTCTTCTACCATTGTGGCTCCACAAGCTGTCAGATCAATGTATGTGCAGGTCTCCTCCTGATAGTTTATAGGACATTTCAATTGCTCCAACGATGCTATTATACACGATCCCGTAGTCCTCCACGACGGCGGTGGAAAACAACCGCGGCCCCAGAGTGCGCCCAAGACGCCTTTAACGACCCCCGGATGCCGCCACGAAAATAGATCTAAATTGGCCTCGACCCATTATCGCCCTGGAAACTCCATCGCCAAAGCAGACCCAGGCCTCCCTCATCCCATTATCCCTTCCTCCTCCATCAGCTCCCAAGGCTCGTATCCCGCCAGGACGCCGCCAATGATCACCAGGACGAAAGCGATCAGCGCCCGAATGGTTGCCAGGAGCGCGTTGCGCCAGACGCGCGGGTCGGCGAGGATGAAGGCGCCAGTGTCGATCGTCCAGTGGGGGAAAAATGCCACCAGGTAGAAGTATGCCCGAAGGCCGGCGACGAAGACGAGGTTGATGGCGGCGCGGGGGTGCCTTTCGATGACTGTGATGAGGATCAGAAGAATGGTGAGCATTTTGATCGTAGTTGTGATGTGGTGTGAGACAGTGATTGGTGGTGGATCTGTCCTTGGAGTGATGCGAGCTGTGGTGTCTCGAGTTGGTGTTGTTTGCGGACTCAGTCAGTTCCTGTTCGAAGACAACAGATCAAGGGACAGTCGAGATTCACCCCGGATTCACTTTCACATGGATATCATGGTGAAGGAAGGGCAGATGAGACATTTGTTTTGCATTGAGAAGACTACGCTATTACCCATGACCGTCTGCGGCTCATCTGTTCCAGCTTCCAAGCACCATCGAAAACTGTGAGCATGTCAGTTGAGGTGACAGGCGAGTGAGCGAGCCTCTTACCACCAGAGTCCAGAAACAGACAGGCTCGTTGAGTAGAGCTTGAGATCTGTGTCGTTGCTGGTTTAGTAGAAACCCAATTCCGTTGGCGGTTTCGACGGCGATGGGCATTGGGACGACGTCCTTCAGGCAACTGCCAGACTGAGTTGATGTGAATCTCCTCGTGTTCCATGCGAATTCAGAAGGTCCAGCAGCTAGCCGACGGAGATCGTCGGCCCGGAGAAGCAGCAGGGTCTGAGAAGAATCAGCATTCTGTCGGAACATTACAAGTGCCTCATAGTACCTGCTGACTTGACAGAGGGAGATGAGCGCTTTAGTCTCTCTTCATGGGTGGCGACAGCACCCCGCCCCAAACTCTCGGCGAAGAGCGAAACAGCTGGAGCGGGGTGCTGGGAAGGCAGTACAGGTGCATCGGCCACGCCGCGGCAGCTGTGAGAAGCGAGAGGTTAGCACAGAGTGAGATGGAGCAGGGCTATACTGACTGAATGTTGCCAACGGCGTGGCCTTGGACGTGAAATGTGGGCCAAAGCCCTACCTCCTGCGTAGTATCAAAAGGCCGCCAGACGGCGAATTTATGGTGAGTGCGTGAAGAAAAGGAGAAACGGAACGAGGGGAGGGGAGGAGCAGTATTTATGCTCAGTTCAGGCAGCGACGCTACGGCGGCCGGAGACACGTCTCCCGGGTCGCGCAATGTTTAGGGTGGGCCTGGGCTGAGGTGACTGCAAGATGAGGAAGGAGGCTCTCGGATTGAGCTCTCACCGGGCCCTCGACATGAGCGATGCCGGTACAGGAATCCAGATGAGAAGGCACTGTGACCTCCTGAGAGTATGTACTGACGGCTCCCACTCAGCATGGTACGGTGCAGTCATGCAAGACCTTCAACTTCTTGTAGCAAGCCATCTTGAGTGGGAGCGGAGCCAGCACATTGCATTGAGTTATCCTAGAGCTATTGCGAGAGAGAAGCGGGAAAGAAGGGCTCGAACTAGCATCGCAATCAGACGCAGATGGAAGACGTATTTCGAGCACGCATACAACGTGATTGAAACTCCGGTTGTTCGCTGAACGCGCCCTTGTTAACCTGGAGACATTGCACAGCAGGGTGATCCCAAATCTTGAATTCTACACAGCGACCTGTAAAGACTCGATGGTGAGTCGCTTCATGCCATCCACTGTACCAGCCGAGAACAACCTTAAGGAGTCTATGCAGTACATCAAAACAAAGACTTCCGCATGTTCTTGCTATAGAGGCAACAGCTGCTCACGAAGTTGCATTATTTGTGAGGCATCAATCAAAGGGAGAAGCGACCTCGTGTGCTAGATCTGATCATTCTAAAAGATCCTCATCTGTGAGCTAAGCACAAAAATAAGACCTCCTGCGTGGCATCATCGCCTTAAGCTTCCGCTACTACGCAGGAGGTTTGAACAGACCAAGAGTCGAACTCGGGTTTTTTCGACGGAGTCGAAACGTGCTACCACTGCACCACCTGTCCTGGATATGTTTCATGCCAGATTTGAAAGTCGAGTGACTCAAGCACGGCATTAAATCAACTCAGGCACCTATTCTTGAAATGCAGGTACTTCAAAATACTGCGCCGAGATGTAAGCTGGCGCCCGAGGACCTTATGAAAGAAGAGAGTGTGGAGATTGGTGCTCAATCTACGAAAGCACGTAGTTTGTCAGAACATCACACATTAAGATCTTAGTAATGACCCCGAAAGATTGGGAGAACATCCATTGCGCTCAATCTATCTATCTGTATTGAAATCATCAACAATTTCATCCTTGACCTGCGTTACCAGAGAACGATACGCTGTTGTTCACCTTGAGCTCCACTGTCCATGCCAAACTACTGGTACTGGTTTAGAGGATAGCCGCGCAGCGCGCCACCGAGCTGTACAGGCACCAGTTCAGGACGATAGCCGACGCCCCTGCCATAATCCCAAGGCCGGCCGAGATTCCACTCTTCGACCAGCTGCTCGAGCCTCTCTTGCATGGTCTCCCCCTCCAACGTCAACTGCTCCCATGTGGCTCGGCCAGCTGCATCAAGGTGGGTGGATGTGACCTTGTCGAGTGCGAAGTAGCCGTACTCGAGTTGTTGGTGAAGGTCGCACGCGTCATGGAAGTGCTCAGTCAAGATCTTGTTGTAGCGATCCCAGTCCCCAGCGGTCATCGGGATCTTGACGGCATACACGACCTGGGGAAGCATGAGGTCACACTCGGTGACGGTCATGAGAGCTCGAGGCATGTACGTGTCTAGCCACCTGCCGAGGACATGGAATACCTCGACATCTTTTTTGCTCTCGCAGACAGATCGTATCATCTTGTATGGTCCTAGCCAGACAGCCCGCGACTCCGCCTGTGGTTCTTGTTAGTGATCTATCCAGCTGCAAGAAGAATAGCAAGAGCAGGTACTTACACCTTCGGGGATGGTTGGTCTGACCACCTGCTCGCCAACGGCAGTATATGGCGCTTTCCCCTTGTCCTTGATATCGATGGGTGGCATGTTGCCAAACAAGATCATTCGACGAGACGGTCCTGGGGTGGTATTGTCATCGCAAGCGGCACTGGCTTCAGACACGGTATCGTAAACCGCTTCACGACGCCCAGAGCCGTGCTTGGCCTCAAATTCCTCCCAAGTCATCGAGCTTGTAGGCAAGTGGGGATTGCCCGGAGTCTTGCCGCCGATGTCGTAGGGGCTAGTGTATGAGCCCGGCGTACCACCGTATCGCGGCTTGTTGTGGAAGCTCCGTACCATTGAAGGACTCGATGTACCGGGTGCGTCCAGACCAAGTGATGTAGCACGAGGAGGAACAGGAGGCATATCCTCAGGGTGAATGCGTCGCGCCAACGCAAGACGATCACCGAAGCCGCCGGGAGGAGCACGCGTGAACGCACGAGGATATTGCTGAGGACTTGTTTCTGGTGACGAAGCCGCGGAGCGGGTCTTGGACTCGATCTCTTGGTTTGGAAGAGGGAACGACATGTTCGTTGACCTTGACCGTCTGAGAATAGTGTGGAGTCAGAAGGTTGAGAGAGGGTGAGAGTTGAAGGAGGAGATGCAAGCAGTCGTTATTGTATCTGGGCCACAAGTTATATATAATATTGGAACGCGGGTATATTTTTAGCGCGTCCGCAGCCACTGCCCGGGGAATTCACGTTTTATGCTGGGCAGTGAAAGAGGCAGAAAGGAGACGAGCTCCACCTGACCTCTACCAACAAGAATTCACTGTCACTTTACAAGAGCAAAGCCTTGTGACCCTCTTTGACTAGCGCTTCTGCGTCACGAGAAACAGGAAATTTGTAGAAGATGCAGTGCCTGCTGTATTTTGCTCTTTGGCAAACTCACGACGAATAGTCCCTGCCCTACTTTTGCAAAATTGCTTCACAGCATCAGCAACAATAACAATATCAGTACTCTCTTTGTCTCTCACGAGACGTCAAACGACCACAGTGACGCTATACTTCCGGCGGTTGAAGATCCGCAACCCGCTTCGCCCTCCACACAAAAGCTATCTGGAGACCGTCCTGGCAGCTGAAGCTGCAGAGAAGAAGGAGAAGGAGAAAGCCGTGAAGAAAGCGGCAAAGCACCGGGTATGAAAACCACGTTTGATCGTTCGCGAATCCTTGCTAAGACAAAACAGCGAACAAGCTTGGCCCGGCTTGAGGGCAGAGACACGACCTGGCGCCGGTCAATTCTTTGGGTGCGAAGCTGTTGGCTTCGAAAGATTGGGCAAGGAGATGAAGCCGCCGGGGTGGAGAGGGAAGATGAAGACGAAGAGGAGGAGCACGATGAGGCCGAGGACGGTGATAATGATGATGATGGGCCCCCCCTCAGAGGAGACTCCAGAGAAATGGGGCGAATGGGAGGGAGATTGGATCGAGATCTTAGAATATTATATGTAGCCGGAATGTTAGACAGCAGAGAATCCCACTGCGTTACTCCTCTTTCTCCCACGGCTTGCTCTTCTCGGCTGCCTAATGACTTTTTTGCGTTCGACTGTGATCCTTCATTGCTTGTATCGCCAATCGCTTTACAGCCTTCATCTTGGTTCGCCGGCCTCTTGCGTCGATCTTGAACTCTGCAGCTGCAGTGTTCGGATTTGAAGGCGCAACAGAGATCCCTCAACTGACTCAGTAACACCCGAAACAATTTCTTGTGCACCCCAATCATCGCTGTGGTCATAGAAGGCCTCGATCGGTTCTGTCGGTATGTAGGCGGCCAGTTCTTGCGACGAATGGCTGCGGCGTGATCGTCGCGGTTCTCAATCCCTTCGTCGCTGCTGTCCCCCTCGTTGTCCTTTGCAGGGTCTCACTCGCGCTCTAGCTTTTGGAAGCGTTCGATGGCTTTTGAATTTATCGGAGATCTCTGGCGAGGATATTGATGAGCGTTCCAGTCTTGTCGGCTGAAATTATTGTGCACTACTCTCCATGTCCTTTGGAACTAGCGCAACCTCGCGCTCCGAAAGCTTACTCTGTAAATGATTATCGACACCAGCGCTGTCGTTTGCTTGGCGCTTGCGAGATGTGTTGCTGCCTATGACTCTCTTGCTGCATCTAGAGGACGCGAAGAACTGTGCAGATACTTGGGTTGAGTCGGAAAAGATGGAACGATGTGTCATCACGAGCGCGGAGTTCAACAACTTTTCAGCAACGTCAAATCGAAGCTCTAAAGGCGAGAGAATTGCGATGGGACGAATCTAGAGCAAGAACGATTGGGAATGCCGGGGTCCATGACTGCAACAGCGAAGTCACAGCATCGCGAAAAGGCAACACGGATCGTTCGACTACCCGAGAAAGGACAGTCTTGTCTCAACCACTTTGCGAGTTTGTGAGCCTTTCAATCTCTCGCGATCATACCAACACTATAAATAAGCATTTCAAGTCGGACGACGACCAATTCACTTATACAGAGACTGCGTAGCTTCTACCATGAAACAAAGGGCATTGTGATACCATGAACGCGATTGTAGCAATTCTTGCAGCGCTAAAGATTTTCACGAGATCATGATAGCACATCTCATTCCTAAAGCGTGGTAGGTACAAAAAAGACACAAGTGCTCTTGCATTATCACCACATGTATCATTAGTTGGACAGAAGGTTAATACAAGATCGTCAATCAAAGCCATGTAGCAAAAGATATCACCAAAACAATCCAAAGAGCATCAAGAGCATTATGGGCATCAAGACGAGCACAGCGAAATGTTGGACATCTTGGTTATACTGGAAGCTACTGAACAAGCTAACAGCATCTTTGAATGTCCTTTTGATGTGAATGATGGGTCATCAGCATGCAGCCGACATATGAAGTGCATGTCGCGCCCATGGGGGAAAAGGAACTTGGATCGAAGGGGCCTTGGGAAATTCATATACTTCTTTATGCCTTGGCACGCTAGTCGTCTATCGGAGGATGTTCGGGCAAGTGAGCAGGGATTGCGAGGTGAAGGAGGCCAGTGCTTGGAAGCAAATAGAAGGAGTATCGAAAGTTATCAACTGCTGGTTAAGACTTTCACATTCACTGTCACAGTTGCCTTGCAAGCCGCTTCCGCCAGTCATATGTTTTCGGGCAACTGCTACTAAACTTGCTCTCCTCAAACTGCTATCCCATTTCTCCTCCAAAGCTACCTCTATCAACAGCAGCAGCAACAAGCACAAGCTCCTCCTTCACATCCATCCTCTTCTCCATAACCTCTCCGCTCGACACCACAATGTCAAGCCAAAAGAACCTCCCCATCCTCCCGGTCCTTTGCCCGGCCATCTCTGGCGTGCCCTCTCGCCGCCATATCGTCGTCGTGGCCCTCGGCGAGCAGCACCACGGGGAACTCCTCAACTTCATACAGGAGTTGATTGGAGGCGTCAAAGATGTTGGCGACGGCGCGGTGACCGAGTGCTCGCTCGGCCTCGTCAAGAACAAGCTCGAGCTCATCGACAAGGCGATCGACGAGCTGGAGCATCACACCAGCGCAGAAGCCAAGGCGGAGATCTCGCACCGGTTATGGGCCCTCAAGGAGGGAAGGGAAGCGGCTCGAAGGATCTTCAACTTCAAGGAGTGAGGTGACTCGGTATGTGATCAACGAACATGGATCCGTCCCCAACAACGCTAACACAAGTTGCTAGTTTTCGGTTTGGCGGCGGGATCGTGGAATGTGCAACTTGAGAGCAGGCACAGAACGCCGTGACGACGCTCAGCAAACTGCAGGGGGGAGTTCGATACCATGGGTGGGGCGTTCAGCGTGATTGGATATTTTGGCCTCATGACTTCGGCGGCTTGATACCACAAGCAAGCCATCGATCGTTCTTGCGATTATAAAGTCTTTCCCTGTCTATATATTTCCTCCCATGGATATGATTTCCTTTCCGAGTGCACCTCTTTCATTATGACGACCAACTTGACCAGCTGTGAAAGGGAAACCACTCGAGCGAGGCGCTACTTTTGGAGTAGTCTTTCCCTGCCAAGATCGAGAGAGTGAACTCTCCGCTTGCGCAAATCCC